TTATTATACGTAATTCTTAAACCAGTGAGTAGAAATTGTGATGTGAACATTGAGACGTTTATTACACATTGTTTCTATTTTATTCGTATACTCGGTGCTTCGATTTCAATGCTTTTCTCGTATGTTATTTTAATGGCAGATTTGCTGGGGATTTATCCGAGCGGTATAACCCGTGATCTAACGTTATTCCATGAAAATGGTTTCGATCAACGTAGCTCGGGCGAAACGGTTTCTAAAAGCCAGCGAGTTGATCGACAGGAATCATGCTCGCGTGAAACGGGGATCAAGACCGGTGATTCGTTCAATCATCGTCACCGTGAAATAATCCCTCTCGATAATTGATGGCGCGTGCGATACGATTATAGTTCCAGCGAATTTTCAGGGATAATTAATTATCTACACTGAGGATTCTTCAAGTAAAATTACAAAATTTCTGATCGAAATTGATTGACACTGGGAATATCGATTTAAGAAATAAATTCAGATTTACTTTACTAGATTTACTAGATTATTAACACTAGAAGATTGAAACTTAGTATCTACCTATATTGCCCAAAGCAGTAAAAATGACTGCATTGTGAAAAAATAATGTGTAAAGAAATTTGTCTAAAATTAATTTTTAATATTTTTTATATTATTTACAGTCATATAACAAGTTATTAGTAAATGTTAACAATAAAAAAATTTACTTCACTTGGGAAAAAAAATANACTGTACTTTTCCACATGTAACACCCTTACGTTTCTTAAAAATATGTAAAAGTTCAGAGTTCAGATATAATACAAGGATACGAGAAATAAGGGATGAAAGTGGATCGTTATCAGTAAATATTGAAAGGAGACGATCTCGTTAAACCGGGAACGTGACCAGCAGTTGGATAATCCATTCAGAATCGGGTGTTCCATAACGTCGTATAAACATGTTTCCTTGCGACGTCTACTTTAAATAATGGCCAATTAAATTTTAACGCCCGATGATTTTTTATTTAAGAGCCTTAACCTCCCTTCTGGTTAATACCGATACTTTCTGTCCCAGTTACCGTTTATCTGAAAATACTGCGGGTTACAATCGTACCTTAAATCCCCTCTAAGGTATTTTTATGATACAGAAGGTCAGATGATTGAGGCACAATAAACCTGTCGAATACATGCAAGCCAATTCTCTTTTGCACTTCAGCAGCTCTTCCTTTTCAATAGACCTCCAATATCATATAAAAGTTTCAAAGTCACTTTATTTTATATATCACATAAAATCACATAAAATCACATAAAATCA